TATTAGCACATCCTTTTAACTAGGGAGGGAATTTTAAATTTTATTCAGGAGCCAATTCTTCTGTGGTCTTCCTTATTCGATGTCCAACATTCACATGCATATGATGCAATGGAGGATGCCATGGTTTGATTCAGGCACACCTTACTCCTCAAAGTAACATCCTTGCTCTTCAATATTCTAACGAGGGCTACTGCAGCAGATTTACCGGAAAAAATAGGTCTTTTGATGTCTTTACTGCTGCTTCCATAAGCACTGATTGTGGGTCCAAGTAAGAGCAAATCCTTGACAACTCCTTTCTTTTGTGTTATTATGATGCTGCCTTTTGGTCTAGTTGTGAGGATTTGGGTCTTCCTTACATTGAGTTGTAGTCAACATTTGAATTGGGTGCTGAAGAAGAATACTGAGAGTACCACGAACTGCTAAAAGTACAAAACAATGGAAGAAGTAAGTCCATACTGCTCCTTAGAATCAAGGGTAGCAACACTTGGTCGTACATATTTTGGGCATCTTGTCAGGAGAGACCTGTCCATTGAGACGGACATGATGTTTGGTAAAGAGGAAGGGCAGTGAAAGAGGAAAGCCCTTCATGAGTTGGAATGACACAGTGGCTGCATCAATGGGTTTAGGCTGAGGAACAATTGTGAGGATGGTGCAAGACCAGGCAGTGATTCCTTCTGTTGGGCACGGGGTTGTCACTATGGGTCTGAACTGAGTCAAAGACACCTAACAACAACAATCACATGCCCTGATGACATATTGGTCAGGCCTTTCACTGCTAACCATAAGGATGGCATTTCAAACTACCAGTTGATCCAAGGGAGAAAGATAAACTGTCTACTGTAAGAGTTACGGTCTTAGAAACTCATAAGGGCATTTCTACCCTGGCTTCTAAGGTTGCTATGAGTAGGCATTGAGTCAATGAGAGTGAGTTTGTTTTGAGAGTTTATATAGCTTATAATACACTTTTCATGACTATCAGTTTCCGTCATACTCAGCAGAGTTCACTCACATGTCCATTTAGAAGTATGTATTTGAAACCCGCCATGCTGTTGTTATTTTAGTTATTTATCCTTGGTAGGTGCCATCGAGGCAGTTCCTACTCTAAGTACAGCTGGCTGAAGCACTGACCGGTCCAGCCTCATTTCAGAGTCAGCATGTTGGAGCCCATTGGGGCAGTCACTGTGTCAGTTCATCTCGCGGAAACTGTCACGGCCTTTATTCCACTTGAATCCACAGTCTATGCCCATGGAAGCACCAGCTGAGAAATCACATGATAGCTTGCATTTCTCATTTTTTTTGCACAAGATCTCTGTGATGTTTTAAAGTATGTCACTTTGAGGTCTAAGGTCCACCTAACACAAGCTATGGCATTTTCAATCACTTGATCTGCATGTAAAAGTTGAAGACTGAATAAGAAAATGAAAGAAGAATAGATTCATTTGGATGATAACGGTGGAGAAAATATTGAAATTATCATGAACTGCCATAAACAAAACAAACAAACAAACAAACAAATCTGTCTTGAAAAAAGCATAACCAGAGTTCCTCTATAAAGCAAAAACACAGGGACAAAGCCAATGCTAATAGTTCTTCATTAACAACGCAAAGGATAATTACCTGAGTCACACAATTTCCTTGTTATATGCAAGTCCTTCTCTACTTACATATGAAGCAATGCCTCACATTATGCATGCACTCATTGTAACTGAATAGACAGAAGAAGATCTTTGGATTAGGATTTGTAAAAGATAACTTTAATGGGAAATCAAAATTCAGACATCAGAGACATTTGACATCAAAGTGGGGAGAGACTTGTGAACCATACTGCTAACAGTGATTATGGATATTTGGCCAACTTTAGCAATCTGTCCACACAGAATAAAAGGGAACTTATTAGAGAATGGCCCTAAAGTCAATGCTTTCTAAATTCTGAATTTTCATGCCTCACACCCCTCAAAAAGTGGAGTTGGAAAGTTTTATGGAACGGGAGGCAACAGCAAAACCTGGTCACACCTACAAGAATAGATCTGAGAAGTCAGAGTTCTCAACTACAGAAGCAGCTCTCCCAATCTGTACTGTAAAAACGCTGCCTGGGATTGATTTGCGTACAGAAAGAAATGTGGACCAAGAAAGTAAGACTCCTTGGATGTTTAGGTTAATAATTTAAACTTCAAATAGATAATAACTGCCTTGCAAGCACAGATTCAGGAAGTAGATGTAAATATTATCTGACCTCCAAAATGTATTGACAACACATCACACAGCCCGTGTTAGTTATTTAATTCTTAATGATAAGAATAAATTATTTATTTTCTCAAGCAGAAATAACAGTTTGTACTTTGAACTCTTTTGTCTAAATCAATGTTGTCCAAGACAAAATAATGAAAATTATAAAAACAAACTACATATATTATTCTAATTCCCATTAAGCACAGTTGAAAAGTATTCTAAAGATAAGGCTAATTTAATGATGAGTTTATTTAAACCATTGTATTAAAAATATTACCCTCTCAATGATTAACACAGTTATAATTAGATTTACCTTTCTTTTATGAACTAGGTCTTTGCATTTCAGTGAATAATTTAAAAATACAGCCCATTTTGATTTCAAATGATTGGATTTCCTGTAAACAGTTCATACCACTTTTAGTTCCCTTATTGGACAATGTAGCTCCAAATGAAGTTTTCATGAACATTATATTTTCAGGAAGAGCGTCTGCAATAAGATATACATATATATATATACATAATATTTTATCAGTATGGAGTGGTTACTTTGTTCAGATATTGACATTATCCCATTGCCATGTATTGACTCGCATTCACAGAGGAATTAAAATCATATCTCCCTTTAAAGCAAGTCTTTATGGAAAACATTGTGACTAAAATGTTGGAGACAGCCCATTCATTTTATAGCTTATCTCAAACTGATAAAAGGTGTCAGCATTAAGCACTTGAATGTGAGCATTTGCTAAGAGTGCCTGGTACTCTTTTACTCTACTTGCATATAACTAAGTAAGTGTGGCTGAGTGGTTGACAAATTGCAATGTTTTATAGACATTTCATTAAACATATATTGGTTTTTATTATAGTGCACATATATTTTAATATACAAAACAGTTGGTATCAAATGTATTTAATTTTTTGAAAACCTTAAGGTTCTGTACTTCTAGTACCAAATGCCTAAATCCTTGCTTAGGGACCCTGGTAGCACAAGCACCAGATCAGCATTTCAAACACCCCAGCTCTTCTTCATGAGAAAGAGGAGGCTTTCTGCTCTAGTCAAGACAGACGGCCACTGAAACCCTAGTGGGCAGTTCTACCCTGCCCTCTAGGGTCACAGAGACTAAATCAACTTGATGGCATTAAGTTTGTTTATTGTTTTATTTGGTCAGCCCTTATCTGCACACAAGATATAGTTGTTATTGTCATAGAGTTACCTCTGGCTTATGATGATTACATATAGATAAAATTCACAGTTATGGGGGTTTATTACAGAAGTTAATAGGTTACCACAAGTCAAGGTCAGTAAACTGTAAGGATATAGTCATTGGTCCACAGCATTACCTCTCCTCAGCCAGTAGCCCATTCACTCTCTGGTCCTCAGTCTCTCAGCCACATGGTCCCTTGGCCTTTGCCGCTATGAACCAGGAAGTTCACCTGTTGCTCTGTCTTACAGCCCCATAGTCTGAGCACTGCTCCTCTTGCTCTGTGCCATAGTCTCTGTGCCACTCTCTGGTGCCCCTGGTGCCAGGCTCGACACTTCAGATAGAGATCTGTGGATCCCTATCCACTCTTCTGAAGCTCCTGGGCTTTCTCTCTCTCCTCCTGCTTCAGAGATGACGCATCCTTATAGCCAAGGGGTTGGTAACAATAACAACCCATCCTCCTCTATTAATATTACACATGTCCAACTTGCATAATCCCACCATATCATTCGGTGAGAATTCTAGCACTTGAGTAGAAGAGTCATGCAAAGAAATCTCACTTCACCACATCTACCCTATAGGCAATGATATGGTGAGCAAAAAGTTAAAGGACGGTGAGAAGAACAAATAAAAATTGTCAAAACTTGTTTTTTCACCAAGGGGAGGGCTTGTTCTACAATATGATATTATTCATTCTATGGGAGTTCGGGTCACTCAATGGTTAAACAGTCAGTTGTCAACACCAAGGTTGGATTTCAATTCACTCCATTGCTCCTTGGCTCAAAGACCTGGTGGTCAGGCTGACAAAAAAGATCCCTGCCTAAAAAACATAGATGGAAGTTGTACTATGTGACAGGGTGTGGGTCTTCTTCAAAATCAACCTAAAAACACCTGACGAGCGCCTTTATTGAATATACCAAATTCTCCTGGCATGCTGGGTAGCCTTTGGCTTGCTAATTGCACAGTTAGCCATTCAAACCCACCAGCTGCTAGCACCATGGGAGAAAGATGAAGCTTTCACTGCTGAAAAGATTTACACAGCTTCAGAAAGCTGACAGAGGGGCACCATGAGCTGGAATTAACTAGACGTCAGTGGGTGTTGTTCGTTTTGGTTTGGGGGATGCTATTGAGAAATACACGAATGCATGAAAGGATATAAGCCTTTTATTTTAATAATGCTCCTCATAACACATAGCTTTAGACAAAGGAAGAAAACAAAATCAATATAGAATTATTCAGTGCCACCTGATAATAGTGCTGAAGTTGAAGTTCACTTTAAATAGAGTGACATGAGTTTTGCTCTTAAAATGAATTATTAAATAAAAATTGGTTTCCTCTCCTCATAACACATCTTTTGTTTAATTGTAACTAATTTTTGTCAAGTCTGTAAAAAAACCTGGATCATTCATCTAGGTTAACCCTGAACAAATGGGCAGAGAATTTTTACCAATATAATTCTCTGAAGCAGGTTTCCCCTTTTTCTTTAATTGGTGGCAGGTATAATGAAACTCTGGATGAAGATCATCGTGTGATTTTATTAATTTAATGTATCTTTGTAAATCTGTTTTATAGGTCCCTTTAGATGGACTATAATACAGCAGCGATCTTTTCATCAAAAGGATTAATGCCCGCATTATCATTTCTGCAATAAAATACGAAGCTAAGTGGGGGAGGCCACGGACATCTGAAAGCGGGATTCCACAATTCTACATCAAGCGTGGGAGTTCTGATCGCTCTGCTGTAGACAAGCCTTTGCCAATGCTTACAAGGAACTGCTTATCCCTCCTTCTCTGGGTCCTGTTGGATGGAGGTCTCCTAATACCACTTCAACCGCAGCCGCCACAGACCTTCGTCACAGAACCAAGAGACAATGTCATCCACCTGCGAGGGCGCCGTTCTCATTTCCAGCGAGTCAAACGTGGCTGGGTATGGAATCAATTCTTTGTGCTGGAAGAATACATGGGCTCCGAACCGCAGTATGTGGGAAAGGTAATGATGTTTTTCTTTTGACAAAGAGATAATATGCATTGTATGGTGTGGTTTTATTTGTTGCACAAGGATTGAATGTCCAGTGACTGAAATACTGGCATTGCAATCCAAGAGACCTGGTTTCAGTCCTGACTCAGAGGCTTGGGTGAGCTTTGGCATAACATTTACTCCCTGTTTGTTCCAATTTCTTGCTGACTATTCCCATGAGGGTGGTAGATATTTTGCTCCTATCTGCGACATCCATTACAGAATACATGAGGTGAATTTTTAACCATATCTCGAAAGTTCCTTTATAATATGTGATTGCTCACAGTCATTCTGAAATTGTTAAGCACCAACAGACACAGAAAAATCATCAGGCATAACTATTTGAAACAAACATTGATGTTCTTAATGACCAAGGATGTCAATATGCCGTGCCATTTGGATTGATTTCTGAAATATATGCTTTGGCTACTTCATGCTTTCTAAAAACCCCAAAAACATGTTTGTTATATGCTTGCAAGTTATTTATGTCCAAAGTAATACATGTTTGAAGCCAAGCATGTACATATTCATTTCCAACACAGCACATAGAATTTACATCATATCATAAGTTTATGGAGATTTTCTTTTCTTTTTCCCCACAACGTAGTTGATGGTTGTCTGTTTCAGCAGATTTCTGTTTTACTGCTTGCTTTCTTAAATAAAACCATTGGCCCATGTTTGTACCCATGTTTGACCCAATTTATTCACCCTTCCAAGGAAAACTCTTTTCCTCCCACTTTTTTTTTCAAAAATATTTTGAATTAAATTTGGGTGAAAACAAATATTTGAAGAAGGTTTCAAATAAAGCCAAAGAGAAAACTGGAAAAACCACGAGGAAAAGAAATCCATTGGAAGAAAAAAACCATAGGAAGCAGTCAAAGAAGTTTTATGATTGTTCCCTATTTAGCTCCTCCCGCCTTCTCATAGCCTAAGCTAAAGAGAATATGAAGGCTCTTCTAATTTAATATTAGGTCAAAGGAATAATTTCTATTTATAATTTAAATTCTTACCCTAAAATTTTTGAAAGTTTATTTAAGAGAGAGTAAATAATATCATGGAGGAGATCTCCAGGCATAATGTTGAAAATTGACACATAAATAAGTGTACTGCTGGGATATATGGGGCCTTGGGACAGCACTTTTGGTGGAGTACATATGTATCTATATCTGTATCTATCTATGCTCTATCTATTTGTAAAACACTAGAGTTGACTGAAACTAGTACCATTTTGACAGTCATATTTCTATCCTACAAAAGAAATTCAGATTCACTAATAGTACAAATTGACTTTTCAGATGACCTGCCAGGAACTCAAGCCCGCTAACAAAGACAATCCCAGAGGTAGCAGCTCTGGACATTGATAGGGCATCTAGTTAATTCATAGACTGAGTAGAAGGTCAGCATGCCCTAAAAGGGAGAAATACATATAAGGATCTAATCAGATCCAATCCAATCATTTAGTACCCTATACAGAAGACATCATTACCTATAAATTGTCCCTGGCAAAAGAAGGGATTTTGAAAAATTCCATGATACTTACTCCCAAACACAGAAGTTCACTAGTAGTCAGGACAAGAGAGCTCGCTTACTGAACTAAGGGTGTTATTACACAAAGCTTCTGTTATGGAATTGTGTAATAAAATGGTCAGTAAATCCCTATGGCGAGACAAATTTATTTACTCTAGGTGCATAGAAGCTATGTTTTGTGATTAGATTTAATAGAAAGGTAGAATTTCAATATCTAAAACAAATGGGTAGGGGGAGGACTTATCGGGGTTATCTTGGCTATCTTGGCTCTCTTTATGACGGCAGCTAGATATTATATTAGGGTTCCTATAAAATATCTGAGAAGGTGTTGTTATTTTTTATTGAAACAGATTCATTGATGTTAGTTTCCAGACATTGATGGTTTCTTTAAAAATATGTGAAACGGACTTTAATTCTGTGCTAGACAGATAAACAGTTTACCTCCCAATGGAGGCCTGGAGAAAGCGTAAATGTAGTTGTTGATACAAGTTCTAGTTTGATGCTCTAAATTCACACTTTTGTTATTATTCAATCTATCTGTCTTTTATAATGCTTATTTTCATTGTTTTTGTTGGGTGCCATTCAATTTACTCTGACTCATAACCAAAAAAATAAAATGAAAAGTCCATGACTGTGGTGTTCATTGCGTCTAATAGTTACCACAAAGAAGAAAGAAAAACTGCTCCATACAGTTTCCAAGGCTGTAACCTTTTGCACAGCAAATGGTCGTGAAGGTGGCTGGCTATATCTGACCTCATCTCACTTCTCTAGTGTAATGAGGCAAAGGTCAAACATACCTTCACCTTCATCCGTCTTTATTCTAATACCAACCATTCCTACTACGACATTCCGTTACTTTACTGGGTTTGCTCATTCGTTGCAGTGGCCACACAAAACTCGCACACAATACTCTTGATGGAGGGGCTTTATTAGGGAGGTTACCACAAGCCAGGACCATAAACAGTAAGGCTATGTCTTTTGTCCACAGCAATAACTCTCCTTGGCCAGTAACCAAGTCTACCTTGCCCCTTAGCCCTCAGCCACATGGCCCTTTGGCCTTTGCTTCATGGTCTAGGAAACCAGTGCACCTGTTTTTCTGTCCCATAGTCTCCAGTCAGATGAGAAGAGGGTACCCCATTGTCTTATTGTCTTGAAGCTGCTCCTCTGAGTCTCTGTGTCAGTCTCTGGTACATATGATTTCAGTGGCCTCCACCACTTCAGACAAAGATCTTGGACTTGCTCTTTCAACGGTCTTGGGTTTTCTCTGTAGCCCAGATGAGTCTGATACATGGAAGAATGGTTTCCATGGAGGAGTAGTTTTGTCTTTTAACTGATAACATCCCCAAGGAAAATGAAGGAGGATGTCTTAAGTCATACTGCCATACTCTCTTAGTATTCTTGCCAAAACTCTCTACTAAGATCAAGATCTAAGCACACACACACCTTAATCCTGTAACAGGGAACTCTCTCTAAACTGAGATCATAATCACAGGCATAGAGAACAGAATTATCATACATCACATATGGAATTATGTTGACTACATCTCACTGTACAGAAGCACATTGCTACACTCCATATTTTTCCAACAAAGCTGCTAGAAGTTGCAAATGACTGACCTTGTTCTGCAGAGAATGCATCACCAGGGCTCATTCTGATAAAACATTTCTGATTCGTAGAAACCCTATAGGACAAAGTAGAATTGCCCCAGTGGGTTTCCAAGACTGATTATATTCTATGAGTGGAGAGCCTCATCTTTCTCCTCAGAGCTGCTCTTGGTTTCCAACTGCTGGCCTTTTAACAGTTGAGCACATAGCCCACGACGCCACCCAGGCTCCTTTCTGACCCATACGCAAACCAAACTCTCTGTCATCGAGTTGATGCCAACTTATTGTTGTTAGGTGACTTCCAGTCAGTTCTGTCCCATAGCAACCCTGTGCACACAGAAAGATCCACGACACGGCCCTATGCCTCTTCACCGTTGTTCCCACACCGAGGCCATTGTTGCAGCCCCTGTGGCAGTCCATCTCATTGAGGGCCTTCCTCTTTCGCACCGCCCCTCCAGTTTTCCAAGCACGATGGCTTCTCCAGGCATTGGTCTCTCCTGACAATATGTCCTAATATGTAACATGAAGTCTTGCCCTTCAATCACCTAAGGAGCATCCTGGCTGTACTTGGAAAAAATAAATTTCTCGTTTTATCTGTTTATTAACTGCTGTTTTCATGAGCATTAATTGTAGATCTAAACTAGACAAAATAATTGGCAATGTCAACCTTAGCTCCATTTATCATGAAGTTATTTATGCTGACACATAGCAGCCCTATAGACAGGGTAGAACAGTCCCTGTGAGTTTTCCAGACTGTAACTCTTTAAAGAAGTAGAAAGCCCTGTCTTTCTCCTGCAGAGCAGCTAGTGAGTGGTTTTGAACTGCTGACCTTGTAGCTAGCAGCTCAATGAATAAGCACCACACCATGAAAGATCCTTTTCTCTCCTAGAGCAACCATAAAAGCACAGCAATTGAAAACCTAGGGAGTGTAGCTTTAGATTGATACACACAGGTTCCCAATGAATAGAACAAAACCAAGGCTTGTTGCTAATATATACATATCCTGATTTATAATCTTAAAAAGATTTAAATTCTAAAAAGAGTTTCAAAAAGACTACAGCAGAAGCCCTATTAAGAACTGTAGGGGATCAAGGAGACCTTTAAGTGGTTGCCCACCCAAATGAAGGAAACACATTTTAATCGAGGTGGTAGCAAGAGCTGACGACTATTTTAAAAATCCAGAAGATGTGAAGTGAGGTGGGTAAAATAACTCAAGTTTAAATATTTGAGCGTGGGTCTCCATATAGGTAGCCAAAAATGAGTGGGAACGAATTCAATGGCACTAACAGCCAAATAAGCAGTAAGTGGAGTGTGCAACCTACAGTGGGTCATAGGTATAAACAACGCACGGAATGTCTAAATTCCCATAACTAGAACAGTTGTTCTTAAAAGCATAAAGATCCAGAAAAGCATCTTGCTTGAGTGTTAATATGGACTGAATTGTATTCCTAGAATGATCAATTTGACAATCATTTTAAAGATAACTTGAAGGCAAGGAGACAAGCATAAAGATGATCAGAATTAGGAGAAAGTTACAGCAGGTGGTGTATCTAGCAACTAACTAGGGAATGAGATATTAAAGTTGAGGTCTGAAAATTGGAATGATAATAAAATACTTCAGGATCCATTGGTCATAAAACTATAAAAAAGCAAGACAAATTGGAGATATATGATCCAGGCAGTATCTGCAGAACTTACTAGATAATCATATGCAGAGTAAAAGAGAAGAATATTTAAAATATGACACTGAGTTTTTTGACATACTTCACTATGACCCTTCACTGGTTTGGAATGAGGTGACGACACGAAATGATCGATGTTTGCCATGACATATCCGCAGT